TCTATGATTCTATGATTTTTATCAGCTTTACTGGTGTCTGGCAAACTTAAAATGTTCTTCTTTAACAAACACAGGTCTCAGCTTGGGATGGGTGAAAAAAGGCTGAAAATAAAACGTACCCAGAAAGTGGCTCTCGCTGGTAGTTGGGTGGACAAGGTGTGTCTATGCATTGGTAGCTTCCTCTCATGTTGAAACACATCTGATTGGATCCACAATTAATGTTCTGTTCCAGGCACTCATCAATATCTGGATGGAAAAACGTGCAAGGGATCAGTTGTTGGCAGAATTAGAGGGTAGACACCAAAGTGGGTAAAGGCTGAGCAGAGCACAGAGGGTGCCTCTGCCTGACCCTGGAGCTTGGGGCTCAGCGTGTAATGTGAGCTCACAGGGGAACTTCAGACAATTAGAAGGTGCAATTGTCTTGTTTGCTGCTGGTTTAGGGAACATTAAACTGTGGAATATAAAACTTCTGAGAACTGGAATTCTGAAGGCTCTCCCATGAGCAGCTCAGGGAGGTGGCTGAGCCCCGTCCTGCTCTGTAGCTGGTTCCCTTGCAGCCCTGCCCGCTGCCCGTACCTTGGCAGGTTTTGCCGTTGGCCATGAGGCGATATCCCGAGGGACAGGCACACTGGAAGCTGCCCAGGGTGTTCCTGCACTCGTGCTGACAGGTGTCCCTGCTCTCACATTCATCGATGTCTGTGGAGAGAAGCACCGTCACGTCAGGATTCCCTGACCCTGGATGAACTGTTCAGGTGTAGGGACAGAGCTGGGGGAAGTTGTCTGGATCTTGTTTCCTGATGGGGCTGAATGTGTCAGACTAGAGTGTCCTCTCCCCTTACCTGTGCCAGCCCTTGTAACTGCAGTAACTACAGCCAGCTCTGAGGGGGTCCTGCCCTCTTGGGACAGCAGCTGTAGCACACAGCCCAGCTGAAGGGACCGGGAGAGGGGGGATCTGTGTCCACTGACAGGGTTATACAAACACAGATCTGCCCCCAAGGCAAGCAGAGCTGATCAGCTGATAATCAGGTGTTAAACCACATGCTTGGGGAACACCCAGATCAGTTATCCTGCCTTGACAGTGGGGAAGTGGTTCCTACAGTCAGTCCCTCCTCAGGGAACACTGTTTCCCTTCCAAACAACCTTCCCTATGCCACGGGGATGAGTTAAGCTCAGTATCTGGAAAGACTATCAATAACTGCTCTTAACTTTTTTTCTCAAATACAGAAGTACCAGACCACATTATGTAAAGTTTGTAAAGCAAACTAGTGTGATTTAGACACAGGTAATTTATAATTATAGTGGCTTTTCAAACATCTGCCTAATTCAGCACAGCAATACAGTTAATCTCATGCAAGATTTCAGATTTGCATGATTAAACCAGTGGCAGGAAGGTCTTGGCTTCCCTCTCTCTAATTTACAGGGGTTGCATTAGATCAAAATGTAAACAGAGAAGAGAAGCAGATGTGAACAGAAACCTCTGGTGTGTTGTTATCAAATCCTGATGGTTGTCTGTTGAAAGAACTTCAACAAAAGTATCATTTGGGTGTATTTTTCATATTAAACAGTCATTTTTAAACCTAGATGATTATTACACGAAACAAAAGTACAAGAATATTAACTAATTCCAACTGGAAACTGGGATGAAGATCAGAGGTTGGAGCTTCCCCTTTCCCTCAGTGGGAGCTGTGTCCCTGGGCCTCTCAGTTCAACTGCTGTACCACCCCCAGGTATGTGACTACTGAAATCTCTTTGTAACTTAAATACAAGGTCTGATGTCTGCCTGGCCTTACATTATTTATGAAATGCCTGTTCATGTATGTCACCATTATATCTCACTGTATAATCCCAGCAGGAATTCTGATGCTAGAACCTCTCTGTAGATCACCATTTACCCTGGAAGGATGTTGTGCCTACTGAGAAGTGTCATTTCCTTAAGATACTCAAACCATGAGATAAGCTGGCAAAGTCTGGCTTAGAAGAAGTGTATTTCCAAAAATTAAGTAATTTTTTTTATATCCCCCAAAAACCAGGGGCAGAGCTTGCCAGTTCCTGTAACTGCCTAGTCTCCTCCTCAGGGAAGAAATGTCTGTGCTGTCACTGCCACAGCTCCTGAAAACCTATTTGCTTACTTACCATCAGTCTCTCCAGGCTCGCTGAACTATGTTGTAACCCCTTTTCTTATATAAAATAACAATAATCTAAAAGCTTCTGTGCCTACTGCCCATGTGACACTGACTGGCCCCAGTGTGCCCAACTCTAAAATCTTTATCCAAAACTTTTCTGAACCAGATTGTTGCTGCCATCAGTGGGAGTCTGACAGAAGCAATGGGACTAGACTGGGGCTGCTGGTGGATTTTGGAGCATGAGAAGATTCACCAAGGTGAGCTACTGTGATCAGGAGAAAGAGAGTAAGGGAGAGAATAACTTGGCAAACACACAATAAGAAGCACAGTTAAAACAAGAGGTTACAGGGAGGTTTGAAAACATTTTTGCTACAATGTGAGCAAAGACAGGAGAGGCAAGAACATGCAGAACCCTCTGAGTACTGACCAGGGTAAACAGAAAAAAACCCCACAGCACCACAAACCCTCAGCCCCTGGTAGACATCAAAGAGTAACCTAAGAATAAGGCCCAAAAGAAGAGAGTTGCAGAGATAGACTGACATTTACCTACACATCTGCCATTTCTTGCCTCATAGCCTTCAGGACAAGTTTCTCTAATGTTCCTTCTAGTCCTGGAGAAAGGTATTCTGCTGTTCCTATACTCTGAGAAGGAGCTGTAGAGATTTGAGGAGTGCCTGTAATAGTGCTGCTGTTGCTGGTTGTCTCTCCCAGGGGAGAACTGAGCATAGTTATAGCTACTGTAATAGGCCCCAGAACTTGGCAGCCTCTCCAAGCCGGCGCAAGATTTCCCGTCACCCAGCAACTGCTGCCCAGGTGCACAGAGACACTTGAAGCTGCCGGGGGTGTTGGTGCATTGAAAGGCACAGGGTTTAGGCACTTGTTCACATTCATTAATGTCTGCCCATGGCACATGATCCAGAGCCACAAACCATGTGGAAAGGAGAGAAAACAAACAAACAACAACACGTAACTATATGTATACATACACACAGATACTTATCTCAGTCTGAGGAACACGCTGAAGACACAAGGGTGAGACTTTGAGGGCAGTAAAACATGGAGAACACGATGCCAAGCAGGCAGGTTATGCTGTCCTGGACTGTCCCACACCTTTACTCTCTAAGAAATGAGCCTGTGAGGCTCAGTGTGACTGTGCTCCCTCCGGACAGGAGCCCTGCTGAAGGGCCTGCCTCAAGTGTGCAGTGTTTCAGCCTCAGCTCTTCAATACTATTTAGTAATGGTTTGGGTTTTTTTCCTTAAGTGCTACACACTTAAGGATGAGTGGGAGAAGCTGCCAGGCCCTTCTTTAAAGGAAGAATACTTAACACAGAGCCTTCCAGAGAAGTGCAGTGTTAGAAACTCATTACCCGGCACGGAGGGAAGAGCAACAGGCTCCAGTGTGGTTACTGTGGGGAAATCCTGGAATGGTTTGGGTGGGAAGGGACCTTAAAGCCCACCCAGTGCCACCCCCTGCCATGGGCAGGGACACCTTCCACTATTCCAGGTTGCTCCAAGCCCTGTCCAGCCTGGCCTTGGACACTCCAGGGATGGGGTCAGGGCTGGAGGACGAGTTTCAAGGCTGCACGGGGGAAGAGGTCAGGTAAGTTCTAACTTGTGATTCTGTTATTGGTCATTCCAGCTGTGACAGGTTGGGGACTTAACAGCAAATATTAATTCGCTTTTATACAATTAAGAAATAAAATTATTTTTGTTTTCTTAAGCAATGCATTTTTTTAAGTTGTTTTCCTTTAAATTGCAATCCAAAGTAATTTGACCCACCCCATCCTTGAATCAAACCTGAGTGCTGAGCAGACAGAGTAAAGGGTTTAGGGTACAACATGCTGAGTGTCCTTCACTCTGAGTAAACTGGGAGTGCTCTCAGGACCTGACCTGCCCCCACAGGTTCTCTGGCACTGCCAGTAAGAAATTTCCTAAAATTATCCTCAAGTTACTTCAGGCCCAGCTGGAAATTTGACATCACTGTATTTCTTTTCAAACTTACAGTCTGTCTTCACTAGAAAAAGACAAGAATCTGCAAATTCCAAACAACTCTGCAATGTCCAGAAATAAATAACCCAATATTAACACACATCACAACATATGTGTAACTGACACATATTATAAACCTTTTTGTAACTAGAAACTAAAAATTATCTTTATAGTGACTCAATTATTTAATATTAGTGGATAGTGTATATTCTTTCGACTATTATTGTAAAAATGCCATTAAGCCAATGTTGTTACACTTCCTCTGAACAGAGGATTTTTGAGTTTGTAACACTGCAAGCCACAACTGCATGATAATGGTTTTTAAAAAGCAGTACTGTCAGAAACATAGTAGAACATTACACTGCATTTTTATGAAGTGTTTAATATCTGATATACTTAAGGTTTTAAAGAATTTAGGGGGGTATTAATAATTAAATGTTTTAAGAGTGGGAAATCCAGGAGTAATTACTGCAGAGTATTACAGTATTTCCCAACTGTTATCTGGCAAACAAACAACTGAAGCTTTATAATATATTCGTGAAAATCCTCAGGGTAGGATTGTCAGGTTTTGCAAACAAGAGAACTTCACTTTTTGTATGGCAACAACTAATCTGAATTTTAAGTGTATTAATTTCATTGTTTTTCACCCTAAAACTTATAATTTCCTTGGCACTTAAGTGCTGAGTTTTACATTCTGTACATGCATAAAAGAAACTAACAATAATTCTTTATGACAACCAGTGTCCCTGGAACAAGTTGTGAGTGAGCACTAGAAGATTATCATAGAATGAAAGAAAACAGGTGAAAATTGGAGCAGTTTCTTTTGCAGGAGCAGCCTGTGCAATACAAAACCCCAGAGTCACCTGCATTTACCCCATGGCTGTCCCTGTGAGAAGAGCTCACTGAGGGGTGGCAATCCTAATATTTACAAGAACAAGGTAAAATTACTTTGAAATTAAAATAGCTACATTTTCAGGCTTTCTTAAATTTGAAGAACAATATTTGATTTTATATTCTAGACAGCCTTGCATGTGTTATATACAAACATGCTTTATAGCAGCTTTTTGTGATGCCTTTCCACCTGTGACCTGGTATGTTGAGATTCCACAGAAATGCCGTAATTCAGTGGATTTTATTAACATATGAACTAATGCTTTGGATGAACCTATATTTTAAATATGTTTTTAAGCAGATAAAAATTGAAAGGATAAAAATTCAAGTCATACTTTTAAGAGGGAGCTTTCAGTGGTCCTTGGTCAGAAGGCAGCTTTAGGGCAGTTGCTGGTGCTTTGTGGAAACCCACAGTCCTAGACTTCATCTAGCTTATTCCTGCCAGAAGTTTACATGGTTTTAATATACGTTAAGAAGTCTGGGATTGATTTTATTTCAGTAGAGATGCAGATGGTGGAAGTAACATCTTGGTCTACAGCCAAACACTTTCTTACTGTAATTTAATATCTTTAAAAAAAAACCCACCCAAACGTTCCTGGGTTTTGGTAGTTCAAAATCTTAGGTTGTTAAAGAAAAATAAAATAAGAAAATAGCTATTTATCACTTAGGAAAGCTAATCTTGAAGAAGTCATGAGGGAGGAATAATTCTCTGCTCTGATACATGAGAGCGACCACAACCAACCTCACTAAATGTCAAATACTGACATTCAGGAATCATTAGCAGGGTGGATCAGCTATTTTGTTTTAAATATTCTACATAAATGCAAAAAAGGTGATGCTAAATGATTCCAGTGCCTTCCTGAGGTCTGTTAAATGCCAGGAAGTGTTCTGTGCACTGACAGCACATACTAAACTCTTGCTCTCCACGTCAGAGCTGTGAGAGCCTCCCGAGCTGCTCCACCCGTGTGTGGGAGAAAGCTCTGCAGGGCCTCGTGCCAGACAGCTCTGCAGAGCTGGCACAGGGCAGTGACTGTGTGGTCAGCATTCCTGGGACGGACAGGAACGCTCCTGCCCTGCTCTGAGCCACCCACACCAGGATAAACGCGTTCAGCTCCCTCTGCTCTACCCTGTGGGGAACCCCCTTGGCAGTGCTGTGTGGGGAGGGGTGTTTGGGATGTCCCTGAGCAGAGGTGAGTTCTGGGTCTATCCTGCCTCTCACAACACTCTCCCTGGGGTGCTCTCCATAGGGGAATCCACATGATTCCCTGTGTGACTGCCTTCACGTGTGAACCAGTGCAGGCCAGGGGACAGCCAGGCACAGCAACAAATCTCACCTGGTTTTTATAAACGAAGCCTCTTGTGGAAAGGTCACTCGCCACACCCATCCACCAGTGCCCTGAGACCCTTTTACACTTTGCTTTCAAAGCATGGCCCCAAACCAATCTCCGTTTGGAACCATTTAGCTTTGACTGCTTTGAACCGGATGCTTTGTTTTGGATGGACAATTTGGGACTCGAGGGCAAACTCCTCTCTAGAGCACAGCGTTCACCAGGAACAGCAGTGCCGTGTGCCAGAGCAGCCAGCCCAGGCAGCAGCAGCAGCAGGGGGAGACAGGAGGGTGATTGCAGCTTACCCACACAGGGCCTGCCCATGCCCTGTGCCCGGAAGCCCCGCGGGCACAGGCAGCGGTAACTGCCCCGCGTGTTCTCGCACAGCTGGGGCGCGCGGCACTGGTGCGTCCCGGCACGGCACTCGTCCACATCTGCAGGGACAGCAAAGCAACACTCACCAGGGGCTGGGGAAGGCAGGCAGAGGAGCCTGGGTGCATCTGGCCCTCTGAATGCACACTCTTCTTCTTCCCTGGTGCCCGAGTCAGGCATTACTGTCTAACGTGTGGTACCAAGC